TGTGTATGGACAATTAATATCGTTGAAAGAAGTATTAAAAACATTTTTTGAAATAGGCGATGTATTTGAAAAAACCTGCGAATATATCAACACGTTGATTAAAGATGATAATAATGAAATTTATAATATTGTACAGACTCATTTCTGGAAATTAAAAATCTCAAACAGTACATCAATAATTATTCCTTTATTTTTATATGAAGATGCTTTTGAAATAGCAAATCCACTTGGATCACATGCAGGTATATATAAATTATGCGGAATGTACATTTCAATACCAAGTCTACCACCAGAATTATTTTCGAAATTAGATAACATCTTTCTTGCTCAATTATATCATGCAGACGATTCGAAATTGTTTCCAAGAGAAAAAATTTATTCATATTTAATTAAAGAATTAATGATTCTAGAAACAGAAGGTATTCAATTAATGATAGGATCAAAAAATACTCAAATATATTTTAAACTTGCGTTAATTATCGGCGATAATTTGGNATTACATGGTATTTTAGGATTTGTCGAAAGTTTCTCTGCAGACAAGTGCTGTCGATTTTGTAAAGTTTCGAAAAATATATCTCAGAAGTTATGTATTGAAGATGTCACTATATTACGTGATAAAGTAAATTATGCAGAAGATGTAACAATTAATAATGTAACTATTTCGGGTGTAAAAGAAATTTGTGCATTTATGTTTTACCAACGTTTCATGCAATTGAAAATTATAGCATTGATATTATGCATGACTTATTAGAAGGCGTGTGTAGATATGAAATAAGTTATATTTTGCATTACTGTATTGTTGAACAACAGTACTTTACTTTAGAAACTTTAAACTGGCGTTTACAGTTTTTTAATTTTGATCCGATGTCAAACCGTCCTCCTACAATATCAAATTCACAATTACTTAAAAAATCAATTAAAATGTCTGCTTCTGAAATGTTGAGTTTTGTATTAAATGCCGGCTTATTATTGGGTGATCTTCTAACTAATTGTAATGATCGACATTGGAAACTTTTCATATTATTACGAAAAATCCTTTCCATTACACTTCAACACAGCGTCACTGATTCGACAGCAGATTTACTAGAAAACTTGATTAATGAACATCATATGCTATACATTGATTTATTTGGAGAAACTTTAAAACCTAAACACCATCTAATGTTGCATTATCCTCGAATTATGAAAATTGTTGGACCACTCCGTTCTCTGTGGTCAATGAGATTTGAAGCCAAACATCGTCCTTTAAAATACAATAAAACAATATGCTCGTGCAATTAGCAGTAGAATAAATGTGTGTAACAGTATTGCAATCAAACAACAACTAATGTTGTGCAATTTATTCATAAAGTTGCAATCGGGTACTTTATCATATGTGACTTATAAAAAAGGCAATTCATTAGTTTGTCATAAAAAAGTTTTAGTAAAAAATGATAAAAATTATACTCAAGTAAAAAGTGTTTGTTTTNGAAATGTAATGCTTAAGAGAGGATCGATTATTTTAATAGGAATTGACAATAACAACTTTCCTTTATTTGCAGAAATTGCAGATGTTCTTAAAATCAACACAAATGTTTCTTTACTATNACCGTCAGATTTCATTGCTACTGTAAAATATCTGTTTACAGCATATTTTGATAATCATTATCAAGCTTATGTTGTAAATATTTCGGAAAAATATGATACTATACAATTCGATTGTGTACAGTATTTTAAAGTATACACATTAATTCAAAAAGCAAATGGTAACTGTTATATTAGTTATTGAAAAGTATTTTTTTTATGTTTTGATAGATGTATATACTGATATATGTAAAGTGATTTATGTGCATTCTTTTTGTGTAAGAAAAGAGTGTGTTTCCAATATATATATGATTCTAATATATGATTTTAATATATGATTTTAATATGTAATTTTAATATATGATTCCAATATATGATTCTAATATATTATTTTTTTATTGTATAATTGTACCAAAACGGTATTATAAAATGTTTCTTTTTCTCAAAGTATAGTTTAATTCATTATTATTCTTAAGTTAAGTTACACAAAGAAATATATTAAAAATATATTATAAAGTATAAGAAGAAAGAATTAGTGCCAAACAGTATTATAAAATATGTTTATGTTTTTCAAAGTACAGTTCTTTGAATTCAGTATTACTGTTCTGTTTAATTTATTGTTACTATTATNAAAAAGAATATATTAAAACTATGTTATAAAAAATAAGAACAAAGAAATGTATGTATGTTAAAAGAAACTATATATTGTATAAAATAAGTATAAAATATAAATACTCATAAAAAATTACACTTATATTTAAAATTCTTCCCCACAGTATATGCTATACATTGATTTATGATTATTATATATGTAATAAAATAACTATATAATATGGATGGTTATATTATATTATATTCAATAGTAGTATCAAACAGTTTTTTTGTAAAATTGTTTTAACCATGTTAATATGGATGGTTTTTTTATTATACTTAATAGTAGTCTCAAACAGTTATTGTAAAGTTGATTTAACCATATTAGTATCGTTAAATGTTTCTCAATTAAACATGTTATTAGAACTTGTTCTATGATTGAATAAACGGTATAAACTAAAACTATTGGAACCATATGCATTATAGATCAAATTATATATAAAAAGTTTAATCTTACTATTATATAAGTACGACTTCTTATTATGGCATATAGTGTTTTTACCTTTCAATTATAGTCCTTATTATCATATTTACAGTACAACTTACTATACATAAATCACAAGTTATAGTGTATGAAACCATGTATATGGTTGTATGAATGCATGTTAAAGCTATGGCAACAATAATATATTATTGAATCAACTATAAGTCGCATTGTTAAAATAACTATAAAAAAATAGTTGGCACCTTAAATCACTATAAATTATAGTGAAATTGTGGCAACTGCAACTATTTTTTTCTCTCAGTGTATTACTATAAAAATCTTCTACGAGATCTATTCTACAAAACAAATTCTATCAATAAGTTATGCCACGTAAAATTTTCTATATTTATTACATTGTTGCAAAACTATATAAAATATATAAAACTTTCTAAGTTGTTTATAATAGTTGCAAAATAAAAAATATTCTAAACAACTAAAAAGCTTAAAATATTGCGTGACCACTGCACTTTTTATTGGTTCTTTTTTGTCGTTGGCGTGCAGTCGTGAATATATTTAGATTATTACTGCAAGTTTTAGATGAAAATGATCAAAATAAAGTAATCAAAACGTTCCGAACTAACTATAATGTCTTTTACTTTCAAATTTCTCACGTACAGCAGTAATTGATTTAACTTCCTAAGTTTATTTTCATGCAATTCTTGCACCATCAAAGTTTTTTTTACTATAAATAAATTGAAAAACTTAGTGGTACTATATTGTCACTGAATATGTCTCACAATAATAAACATAGCACTTTGATGAACAATAATAACATTTGAATGGTATGTGCCTTAATATTGGCAACATGAAATCGTAATATATATCATTGTAAAATATTCTATATAAACACCGTACACTTCCACAACGTGGACTATCTAATAATCGCTTGAAACCTTTTATATCAGAATGGAAGCAAGGCATCCGGCATATACAGCAAAATTTGCTATTGTCTAAGTATCTGGCCAATTTAGATGGTAAATTATTGTATGGTATTCTGCAAAACAATAAATTTATTCTCATTTTATAAATGTTAAATTAGTAACTGTGTGTGTATAAAATAACATAGTCAACAAATAAAATATATATACAACACCCGTATTTTTTCACTGCTTTAGCTGCTAAGTCCATCAGGCTCACCACTTTTAAAGTAGGTGATGTATAATCATCACCCCAACAATTGTTTTCAGCAATCAAATGTTCTAATTCCATCCCCCTCATACTCCCTGGTAAATATAACAAAGGGTTTCCCACCACATTCAACAATGCTAAATGTTGCAAAGTTCCAATAATTTGCGGCAATTTTGTTAACAAATTTTCGGAAACGTCTAAGCATATTAAACTTTGTAGCTTTCCAATTTGCAGTGGCAATTCAGTGAGCTAAATGACAATAATAAATAAAAATGAATAATGAATTATTAGTCACTAATTAATAATAAGAACCAATAAAATTGTGTTTCACATAAAATTATCAGTTGTATGCGCCATCTTATAGTTATAAATGTAACACAACTTACATTATTGTTATCTATGTGTAATTCTTTCAGGCTCTGTGAAATAGCAGTTTGCTCCATCCATTCCCATTTAGCGATTTCTAAACAAGTGTTTCCAAAGCAATTGTATGATAACAACAGTTTATCAAGATGTGGCAAAGTACCTAACTCTTTTGGCAGAAACGAAATCTGATTGTTTGTTAGGATAAGTTCTCGTAAAGTATGGAAAATAGGAGTACTTAAGAGTACTTGAGAATGAAATTCCGTTATGTTGGATTTGCGTAAATTAAGTGTTTTGGTTGTTCTAAGAAAACTTTCTCTAGATAAATATTTTCTTTTTTTTCCGACAATTTCTGTGGTTTCTGAGGTAAAGTTATCAATTTCTATAGATGACAGTGTTTTATGAAATGTATACCAAAATCCTTCAGACATCATCTTCACAAGATTAGAAAATCGTTTAAGAGAATCTTTATCACTAGTGGAAATTATAAGACCGTGAGATGGATTTTTAAAATATATTTTTAAAATGTTCCCGTATCTTGTAAATAGATATATCGGCATGCTACACAGTACGTTTTTTTCACTGTTATAAAGATCTTTTGTACTCATCTGTAAAAGAAACTTGCTTGTTTAATTGGTAAATAAGTAGAACCGATTCTGACAATAATTAATATTTAAAGGAAAAAAACACAAGCACTTAAAATTCTGTTTCAGAAGTATTTAGTAATTACTCACATGAATTAGATAAGTGCAAAAAGTTGTGATCAATTTATCATTAGTTTTAATGATAAATCAGTCATAAACTTTGTATTCATAACGCGTAAATTAAATGGTTAATGAGAGCCTACGTTGGATGTTCATGCGAAATTAATATGTATATAATTTTATATTTCTTTGTTTAAAGAGAGTTTACACGTAAGTGTTGAATTGAAATTGAAATTCGTAAGTTCATATAGGATGCTGGATTTGCATCACGTATATGAGAAATGTCTGTTTACATTGAAACATTATAAAATTAAAAACATTGAAAGAAACGAATCTTCGAACGTTACCGCATGAGAAATACGAATAATAATAATAAGTAAGAACGCGACACACATTCGAATAAACAAAATAATCCGCGACACTCACACACAAATAAAATACGATATAAAGTTCACGACACACACATTCAAAACATAAAGGGCCCACAAGAAAAAAAAAAGAGTAAAAACATTATAAAAACTATCAATGAATAAAATAATTACATGGCCCGACGATAAATTATACGACATTCACAATCGGAAAAACAAACACAAAATAAATAAACTAATTAATTATAAATCAGACATAAACTTTGTACGTACCTAACAGATAAAATTACCCCGATAGGAAAACATTTATGGAATTATGTGATAAAATCTTGCATAAAAATTGTGATTCGCAATTATTTAGATATATTTTAAGAAATAGATAAAAAATATTGATCTTTTATGAAATATTTGTAACTGTTTGCAAAATTAAGTTCCAAATACTATTTCGGCAAAACACTAACGATATGGCAAATCATCTCAACAGTATAGTTGCAAAATTAAATTTCAAAAAGAATTATTCAATAATGGAGATACAATTTTCAGCTACGTGATGTTTAAAATAATGTAATGTACAAATATAATTGCACATAAAAAATCATATTACTTATTCATGTACATGCTTACAGAAATGCACAACGATTCCTAAAATTTCATGTAAAAAAATTGCACATAAAATATTGCACATTACTGCAGCAAAATCTTAAATCAATAATCACAACAGTTTCTATGAAATGAACGCTGAGAAGCAATACCATGTCAACCCACATGATCACCATTTTGAGTAAAATAATAACGTAATAGTAATAGTTATATATTTTGTATTGAATTATTTGTATATTTTTACCATAGAAAACAATTTCAGTTATTTAAAACACTATCGCAAAACGTTCTTTAAGTGCTGAAAGAAGCACACTACATAAATATCTCAATATTTCAGTTTTATGGGTTGACACTGTATTGCTTATTAGCGTCCGAATGTATGTAAACTGAATTTTCGGGAATGCTTGTTGAGTATTTTAAAATAATCAGTTAACGTTTTCGAACAAATTTGCTAATTTTTGACAAATATTACTTCCAAAATTGTATTCTGACAAAACTGTTGCGTTATGGCGAATCATCTTAGTGCAATCATTGCGAATTTTTCGTCACTTTATGATGCCATTTTTGTGCAATATTTTCACGATTTGCCTATTGGGGTAGTTTATCTAATACGTTTTAAAAAGATTGATGAAAGAAAAAAAGAAAAAATAGAGAATTCCATAATCTATAATCTATACATATACATTACCAAATATTTGACTTGATCCCTTTTTTCTGATTTCCAAATTAAATATGCTTCTATTTTATAAGAGTCTACCTTTTTCTCAAGTGACAATACAGAACGTTCCGGTATTGATACAGATAAGTCTACGTCGATGAGGGAAACAGTGCAATTCAAGTTCATTGTATATTCTCTGTCGACTAAGTAAACAGTGGAATTCGAGTTTATTTTATATTATCTTTCTTCTGTGTATCAAACGAAGTGATTATCTCCGACGTGAAAAATGTAAAATGCAATGGTTTACCACAATCAGTACTTACATGTATATATTTACAAAATAAACACTTATTATATATCAAAACCGTCAATATATCAAAACAAAGCGAAATAAATACATCTGTGATAAAACTTCAGCGTTTAGTAAATGTGTTTTTGATCTATTCTGTTCAAGCTCCAAATCCGCGTGTGTGTTTGCATGTCCATCCAAAATGATCCACGTGCATCAGTGTTCACAGTATGGCGACACTTACAGAATGCTGCAGCGGTGGAGGAAATGCGCACAACACTTATAGAATTCTATGCGCATAGCACTTACACACAATTTGCGCTACTTAGCGTGAGGCACTACCGTGCTTCTTGATACACATCTATACTGCGTTCAATTTAAGAAGAGAAACCGGATGAAAATTTTGCGCACTTCCCTTGTACTAAAAAATATCTTAACTCTACAGTTTTGGCTGTCAAGTGTTTCATCAACAATCCCGAACGCAACACTTTCCCTACGCTACTTTGGCTGCTTTTTTTCCCTATGCACAGTAAAATTCTCTTCTCAAAGTGAACGCATACATACGCACAGATAAACCTTGACTTGCGCACGAAAGAGTTGCCACATAGTAATGACAAGAGCAGATTCACGTTTCGCTCTGGCGACGAAGTCTGTAAAGTCACGCTGTCTTAATGTGAATGCGAACCTAGTTTTTTGAGATTTCGGACTTTAAGCCAAGATATCTCCGTTGGGAAGGCACGGAAGAAAAAAACTGCGAAATACTTTTTTTCGTGTCTCGATCTCAACTTTCGATTGAGTCTAGGTCGAACTCGATCGGTTTAGTCGTTGCTGAAATCTGAAAATCTCAGAAGTCTCGATCGGGTTCTACTCGCGTAAATGAGCCACGGAGTAGCCTCGCGCAGCGCGCGCACACTTCATTGGCGCGTATACTTGGCGCGAGGCACTACCGTGCCTCTCTTGATAATGATGTTAGGAACGAATCGAGAATTTACGAGCTGCGATGGAGCGTTGATACGAGAGATACGGTAATAAACGATTAAACCCGAAGAAGATTCGGTTTATCACGCCGTTGTATATACTATCGGAGCGCCGAGTCGGATTTTGCATCGGGCGTGGAGAGAAGTTGAGCCATCATCATAAACAATTAATCTGTCGCGTGTTTAAATTGAACGTTTAAAAACAACACCGGACGAATTTTTCTTATTCGGTCTTAATGCGAAGTCCGCGCGGATATTGAATCGCATAAATTCCACCGTGGATTCTTGACCCCTCGGCGCGGGGATCTCTCTTTCTCTCTCTCTCTCTCCGACAGTCGCGTCGATTGCACATACCACCCATCGCTCGGAGAGAACGTTTTCAATTAATGGATCCCTTCGCTGATTTTCCGCTTCGTAGGTTTCACTGATATCTGTTCCGAGTATAAATTGCTATAATTACAGGTTTTCTGTCTGTAATTAAAATCTCGAGCGGGGGGTACACAACGCGCGCGGAGAATCAATCATTCGTAAAATACACACACACCTACTGTAAAATTTTTCGCATTCTTTGTAGGAACAAAAACAAGAGAGAAAAAAAAAAGCGTCCGTGACCGATCGCAAGCGACTCTTCCTCGCGATCTTTCTTACGCGAAATTCTTACGGAATTGTCGACCGACGAAAATCGTGTTACACACGACGCAAGGCAAGCACGTTCCGTTACGGAGCGAGATCGCTATAAAAGACGGGGAACGTCTTCATGCATAACGCCTGTGTGTGCATAAAGGCGAGCGCGACGATGACGCTGAAGATATAGCTGACACATACGACGATAAAGAAGAGGACTTAATTCGCGCGCGATAAATGCCGGAGAAGAAAACATTCTGATGTTCGAAAAAAAAGCTGTCGAATATATTACTTTATAAACTACAACTTGGCGTTATCAAATGTGTGTGTGTGTGATAACCAACATGCAACAACAAATTATGCAATGTTCACGTTTATAAACTTCAGTTTAAAAACTATTAATAGTAATAATTTGTAATGATAATAGTTTTATATTAGACAAATTGTTATTAAAAAAAAAAAAAAAAAATCTATTTCAAGCTGACCAAATAATGCAAAAATTCCTTCACGAAACACAACACCGTCATTGTCAACACGCGCTTTCTCCAGGGTTATGGTCGTATAATTCTGTGCTGTATATTCTCTCTATCTGCGTGGAAACTTTTATCTTGAATGGGAAGCGCGCGGTATCGCGAGTTTCGCTCGTGAGAGAAGAGAAGAAGAGAGAAAGAGCGGAGAGAGAAAGTACAGCATCTCGCTTAGGCGAGGCATCATCGCGAAGGATCATCGCGGGAATAAGATGCGTCTTCAGACCTTTTGATCCGCGTGCGTGCTCGCGAGAACGCCGTTTAAGTAAACTCGGCGCGATGAGTTAGAGCGCACGAAAATAAGAGCAAATACAGGTAAGAGGCAACTTCCCGAGACGGGAGAGGAGGGAGGA